GTCGTGATCCCTGTTGTAAGTTTAACTTTAATCGGCAGGGCCTTGTCACACTCGGCCTTGGAGCGAGTCGGCCTCAACACATGCGTTGCACCCCCATCCAGAAGAGCTCGACAATGACCTCCTGAAGATGCGAGAGACTTGACGCCTAGAACCTTCCCCGAAGGACAGAGAGATTTCAAAAGTTGCACTGCTTCTTTCATCAAATCTTTAGATGGTTGAACAGGGGGCGGAGTGAATATTGAGCTTGAAACCTCCGCCATCACCGACGAAGCACCCTCCTCGCCCTTCATCACAGCCTCCTTGGCCTTGGCGTTCTCCCCCACCGACCTTGTTTGGAAATGCCTTTCCAATCATGTGGGAACAAGCACTTCTGCCCCTTTTTACATCCTGTGTCAGACAGGAAGTATCGGCAAACTGGGCGATCACCTCCGGTTGGTCTGGAGTCCCCCTTGCCATGCTTTGGATCAGGCTTCGAGGTCTTGGCATCCTTGTTCGTGCCCGCATCCTTGGTGTCTTGACCATCTCGGTTTTGTCTTTGGTGTCTTTGGATTTGCCTCCATCATTTCGCGGAGCACCCCCATCACAATCCAAGGCACGAACCTTCACCGTGTCCTTCACAGGAGCGGAAGAGCTTCCATGGAACACTGCCTCTCCCTCCGCCAACAAAGACTCTGCAAAACGAAAGGCCACCTGAGAAGAGTTCTTCGCCAGACCAGTTGCATATCTGTCCAGGGTGGCAAAAAGAAGAACAGGATCTGGAGGCTGAATTCCCAACTCCTGCACCCTCGTCATGCCCTCAAGGACGTAAGCCATTCCCCCAATGCAGACGGAACACGTTGATCGACCATCTGCTTCAGCAAAGTAATTCGTTCACCCAACCCTCCTGGCTGGCTGGCCTGGCTGGTAGACCCTGAGGACCTTGAAGATGATGCTAATAGAGTTCACCTCCCGCTGAGACACCAACTCTGAGCGGATGGATTCCGGGATGGCTTTCAACAAGGCCACTGTACCACGCTGTTCAATCCTCAATCAGGGTGGCCTCTGAAATGCTTAAGGAGTCACCGGCGTCAATCGCAACCTCTCCATGGGCTCAGAGTTCAACCCCACCCTATAGAATGTGCCAGCGACCTGCAGCACCTCATCCCACCACATCGAAGAACTAAAGTTGATGTCCCTCAAAAAAGGTCCAATGGTGGTGAGCCAATCTCCAACTATGAGGGGACCGATTTCCGACTCCGAGAGCTCCGGCAAACTTGGCAACTCAATTGCACGAACCGATTCTTGCTGGGCCATAATCCCACCAAGCCATGCGGGAAGACCTGCACAGGGTAGGTTCGGATCTCCACCACCTCCAGGAGGTCTGCCGCCGCCCGGAAAACCTCCAGGAAGACCCCCTCCAGGGAAATCACCATATCCATTCCCTTGACCACCAAATGGAGGACCACCGCCAGGTGGACCAACGCCACCTCCTGATACCCCAGGACCACCTCCAGGTAGACCAGAACCTCCTACATAACTTGCATGACCAGAAATAGGAGCACCACCAATTCCAGAAGAACCACCACCCGTAGCACCCTGGAACTCACCATTCCGCTGACAACCATGACCATTCAGGGAGGCGTGCTGCCCTTGACCACCACCACCAGATAGCTCTTGTCCCGGAACCCGTTGGTCTTTAGCTGAGCCACCCACGGACACGACTGTCTCATAATCTCTTTGTCCCACATCAATCGAAAGCGGTGCTTCCACGGACGAGGCACCCGACATTTGCTTCAGAGGGCCCTTTGCGGACCCCAGCATTCCAGGGAAGAGCGAGCGCATCACATCACCTGCCGAAGATGACGATAATCCATTGAACACCTCCATCAAACCTTGTACGAGGACCCTCAACGAGCCCGTGTGCAAGTCCAAAATCATGGTGAAGACCGCCTAGATTTGGTTGGCCTCCATGGTCACCCAATCCGGTCAAAGGTCCCAATAAGCCCTTCTCGGACGGCATGCGATTTGCCCCAAAGGTTGCCCTTTCAAACATGGACCCCCACAGCGACTTGTCTTTTGGAAAATTATCGCCCATCACATTCATAGGCCATGGAGAAGGCCCAAACCAGGACCAGCTTGCGAGCCCCAGCCACCGGCTGCCCTCGATCCCATCCAAGTGTTACGTTCGGACCAAAGCCTTGCGTTCTCTGCCATGAGCCCCTGGATGATTGCCTTCATCGTTTCAGCCCCATCTCACGAAGGGCTGATGCCTTGACCTTCAGCGGGCAGCAGCTCAAGAGACTGTTGAGGAGGTAAATCAACTGGTCGAATGGCCCGCAACACCGCCTCATCGCGGACGGACTCTAACCAGAATGGATTCCAATTCTCTGGTCCAAGAACAACAGGAGGGCCCGTAAGCCTTGCCAGGATGCCATCAGATGGACCAGCATCTTCTATTGCCCTTAATCCACCAAATTCGGGTGTCAGCTCAGACGTGGCACCCTCGCTCATGGCGCACTTA